ATATATATATTAATTGAGAGTAAGAGAAAATATTAACCGTTAAAGTTCACTATGAACGGAAAAAGTTTAAATCATGATTTTTTTTTTAAATTCACATGAATTTTTAATGTAAATATCTTTTCATTAAAATTTTCTCACGAAAAAGGTGGAAAATATAAGATTATCGTGAAGAAAAAAATTATAATATACAAGTAAAATTATCTCTCCCATTCTAGAGATGATTTTAGACGTACTAAATATGTTTATAATATTTTAAAAAAATACTGGGGTATAATTTATAAGAAACATGATTTCCAAGAAAAAAATGATTTTATATGCCAAATGTCGCATAAGTTATTAGAGAAAAAGAGTTACTTAATTCCAACGTGCATGATTTTGTAGTAGAACACAAATAATTAAGTTGAGAATTAGAGAGAATATTAACATTATAAATGTTCTGACCGATATAAAAATTAGTTTCCCTCAGTGATAATAAATATAAAATTATTTAAAGGAAAGAGAGAAAAGAGGGGAAGTGGCTAGATATGAAGATGAACAGAAGCAGAAAAGTGAGGCTGATTTGTAGCCACGAGTTTGGAATTCTCTGGGTGACTATAAAATATAATTGGTATGTGGCTTGCTTTTTTTTCTTCTCAGTTCATGTTTTTTTACAAAGACACGTATTTTGTTCACTTAATTTGTATATTAGTGAAGGTGGGCCTGTAGCGTTGTTGGTAAGTCAACCCTAAAGTCTAAAGGGTTCTTCTTCTTCTTAGAAGCCGCCCACTAATTATAATACTAGAGCCACCCTTTTTTTTCTTCTTTTCTTTTTTGATTGAAACTAGGGTTATCCTATGTACTTTGTTAATCGGTAGTTAATCATTCAAAATGTAAGAGAAAGATTAAAATATAGAGCTATATCTCTGTGTTCATCGGCATCGGCTAAGTACTTTTAAAAGACCCTGTGCGTTTTGGACACGTTTATATGTTAATTACAGGGTATCTTTTTGTACATTTAATATGATAAATATGCATATGTTTTGATATACGTACGGAAAGCGTGTTCTTTTCTTTTAAATTTTAGGTGGGATTTTAAATTATATACATTTAAAATAATCAAATTAATGGTACATTCCACTTATTACCTCGATCTTTTTTAAGGTAAATTCCAAAAATTTTCTAAAAAGATGTAGGCTATAGTTTCCTCTGGTTGGTAAGATTGAATGTATTGGTAAGAGAAATGTGCTTTAAAAAGAAAGAAAATTTGTGTTATATAAAACTATACGCAGGAAATCTAGTCGTATTATTGTGTCATTAGTCTCGTACCTGAAAAGAATGTGGTGCCACCAGAAAAGAAAAGAAAAAAAAAAAAAAAAGCATACTGGATTATATGCAATGATTAAAGTTGAGCTGCGATGATGTTTTATCTTGAAACATACCAAATACCATACGTATATTCAAGGTCAAAGTGGATACGTATAACACAGGAACGGGTCTATTTTTGAATTGTATACGTCAAAGCCCTAGAATACATTGTACTCCTTAGGATATTTTGATTTATAAAACGAATTAATGCTAAGCATTTAGCTTGTATTTTAATTATGTTTACCATATTGCAAAGTTATTTCGGCAACGGAAGATACAAATCGAGTAGTTTTTACATGAAGACACCATATAACACAAAGAACCTTTGCCATCAACTCTTAGCTCGAAATTCTTATCTTATTATTGCTGAAATATTCAGGTCAACTATTATATTGAAAATTCTCTCCTTAATGGGAATGGAAGAAAATAATAATAATTACTACGCACCAAATTAAATTAGTGAAATAATAATAACATAACTGTCATGTTCCCCCCTCCCCCAAACAGCTCATTAGTAATTATTATAAATGAGTTCATATTAAAGATACCGTCGTTTGAGTGATCTAATGTAAGTATACGTTTTACTTGTGTTTAAAACCTGTAAAATATTATGTAAATAATCATAATTTAGGGTTTGTTTCCACTCGCAGCAATCTCTATCAGAATTGACTTACTTGATATGAAAAGTCTGTCATGTGTTCACATTTCACACGGTTATCTTGCATACCAAAGAGTGACAAGTCGTATTTTTAATCATTGATTCGTGGACGAAAGGAAATCTCACCAAATTAATCTTCGCATTGGTGGGGTTGACCCTTGTTGATTGATGCAAACATTCCCTATGTCAACATTCGGTCCCACATTTGTATATAAAATATATTAGGTCCTATATAAATTCAAATACTTTTTTTTTAAAAAAAAATATTAGGACATTAATTGTATATCATAGTTTTCCAATAAATATTATTATTTATTTATTTTAAAAAAATTAAATTAGCACTTATTTTTAAATTTCATTTTGACTATAATAGTATTTTTATATTTTAATTGTCAATTATTTGTATATTTAATTAATTACTTTTCATCTTATTGAATTTTAATATTTTTTCATAACCCTTGTTTACTTTTCGATTTTTATTTGTAGGAATTACAATGATAAAAATAAAGTTTGATCTTCAAATCTTGTGGATAATATCTTAATCTCTACTACTAAATTGATCTTAATAATTTTTTATTTTAATTTATTTATCTAAGTTATAACTACACTTATTTCATATTTTTTAATTCATCTTTTTGCATCAATTGAATATCCATCTTAAATGAACTAAAAACCAGGTTCACTTCTTTATTTTTAAACTAGCTTCATTTTTTTATCAGTGTGATTTTTTAAATAAAAAATTATATTTTTTTTATATATTCGTAACTTTACAACAAAAATAAAAATTATTATTGACACATACTCTATAATGATATATTATTTATAGATATAAAATATGTTAATATTATTAAAAATATACATATAAATTATAGTTACATGTCATATAAGTTATTCAACTTCATTCAAAATTGACACTTACATTGTATATAAGTAAATATATCACATATATTTATATCTATATATATTGTATTTAATAAAATTTTGTAATTTTTAATGATATGTAACTTTGATTAGTTTAATAACAAAAAGGATAAATTTTGTTAGAATGTATAAACTTATAATATTAAAAAGATTGAATTTATGAAAAATTATGATATGTCAATAATACCGAATTAAACTTCTTAAGTGAAGTGTGCGTCTCTCTCTCTATTTTTTCTTTTAACGATGAGTCCAGTTTTATGAGATTATTACGACTTCGACGGTGCTTTTTCCCCCTAAAATTTCACCTTTCACTTTTAAGCATGGGTCAATTATACTCTAATGGATGAAATGACTTTGAAATTTGCAAAGTGGTAAAATGGAGTTGAGTAACGTGTTGAATATAATCTACGCATTCTTCTCCTTTTGTCTGTTTTTTCATTATTTCTCATAAAAAAAAGGAGCTTAGAAAATCACACATTCACACCTACTTCTATCCTTTCTGTTTGCTACTAATTCGACTCCTGCCACATGTATAAATTAATAAAACAAGGTAAACTTTCAATCTTTATTTTCTAAAATTAATTTAAATTAGTATTTTTAACTTATATATTGTAAGGTAACTGAAAATTGCCCCAACAAATTAAAGAAGGTAAAATTGCTTCTGCATTTCCATTTACCGAGGTAGTCTGTATAACTCTACAGAGAGGAAAATATAATAGAGTATTTTTTTAACTCATGCAAAGAAAAAAAGACAATCGTGAATTTGTTCGAAACAAAAACAACAAATACAAGGGGACAATGAAAAAAATAAAGGATGAAAAGAAGAGGAGATCCAGAAGTAAACAATGAATTTCCAATTTGCTTATTGCTTCAACAATAAGTTGCCACAAATAAATCGTTTCCAAGGGTAATAAATTAGCTGGTTTTGATTTTTAACGAGTGTTTTAAGAGTATTAATTAAGAAATTAACAAAATAAAATAAAATGTTTTACATATTATACTATTTATCGTATTTCTCCAATAAGAAAAGGTTTCTGTGTGTTTTCTTTGTTTGCTACTGTTTCTTCTTCCATAGCTTAATGTCCGTCCTTTAAATTTGAAGTATAAGTTTGATTTCTGCTTGGGAAAACTCATATTTGAGTCAATATATCTCATGCAACTTTTACTCAGAATGATTTTAACTTTTTAAGTTTCCATATGAAAATGAAACATATTATGTACTTTCAAACGAGACTAAACCATGATTGACATACGAAGAGGGCAATTTTATCAATTTGTTGGATATGAGATTTATTATTCTCCAGGTGTAACTTGCACTTAATCTCGAGATTCTGTCAGGACTCGGATTGAATCAAGTTATTTTAGTCTTAGAAAATGAGCACTTGTTTATATATATGCTGAGCTCTTCTTGTTGTTCGGTCAACTGCGCATGCATATAAGTCACAGGGTAAGTTACTTAAACCATGCCTGCAGATCAATAATTAATTAAAACTTGGATGCATTATACGTGACATAAGAGAACCGTGTTTCTTCTCCCCCTACGTAATCCAACCATAATTTAAATAAATAAAAAAAAAAAAAACTGAATGAAACATTGTTTTGTGGATTAGAAGTTAATTTTGTAGAAATTGAGTCATCACATTCTTGTAGGTGTATGTTTGAGTAAAAATTTAAAAATCACATTTAACGGAAAAAATTCATTCTAATATAAAAAAAAAGGTTTGTGAGTGTAATTTTTTCTTTAATTTTAATTGAATTAATTCAACTGGTTTTCAAATACACTGTATATGATAGTCTTTGGTTTCCTTGCTGTAACTATATAGTAATGATTGTGAAACCCAATCAAACACAAAGAGACAAGACGGCAACGAAGGCCCAAGGCCCAAGAAGAGATGCAACTCCCACCGAAAAAGTCCAACGAGGCCCATTTGTGATGCAGCAATTGGGTTGAGCGTTGCGCAGATAATGTATCCACTTCATTTTCTTACCAGAAGTAGCTATTTGATTCTCCGTGACGACGTCGTATCAGATAAAATATCTCTTCGAGCCTTATCGTTTATTTATGATCCACGGTTACGCTTTCTCCAGTTTCATTTGAGTGTGTGCGCGCTTTCAGTCACCACCGATCCTACAATGGCGACGGTTACGTTTTCCTTTTCCGCTAAAACCCTAACCCCACCCTATCACCCGAAAACCCCAATCTCGAGCTTCACCCCGGTGACGAATTTACGCCTCCCTCATTCTATGGTGACCCGAACCCGAAACCCTATCCGGATTCGGGCGACGCTGGACGGCGATTTCTCGGCGAAAAGGAGCAGCAGCAGCGAGCAGAGGGAGACGATAATGTTACCTGGCTGTGATTACAACCATTGGCTTATTGTAATGGAGTTTCCTAAGGACCCTGCACCCACCCGTGAACAAATGATTGACACTTACCTTGAGACTCTTGCCACTGTATTGGGGAGGTTCTTTCCTTTTCCTCTTCTCTTTCTTAACGTTTTATGTTTCGACAATGAATCCACGTGGAATTATTATGTACCTTAAGATATGTGCGGATTCATGTGCACCTTCTGTTTTGTGGAGAAATTTATTCGTTTTGTCATTATGTGCTTTGCTTGTGTATCAGCATGGAGGAAGCAAAGAAGAACATGTATGCCTTCAGCACCACCACCTACACTGGATTTCAGTGCACTGTTGATGAAGCAACTTCAGAGAAATTCAAGGGTGATGTTTCAACTCCGGATTTGTCTTGATTCCATTGTGTCGTTACTTGATGAATCCTGGTTATTCATCTCTTATTTTTGCTTGTAGGTTTGCCCGGGGTTCTTTGGGTACTGCCAGATTCGTATATAGATGTTAAAAACAAAGACTACGGAGGTTATTTTACTTATTTTTTACACTCATTGTGTGTTTGAGATTCTACTGCTTGTAATCTTGTTGCTAAATGGTTATTGTTATTTGGTTTTAGGTGACAAATACATAAATGGGGAGATTATTCCTTGCAAGTACCCTACCTACCAACCGAAACGTAGCGGGCCAAAGAATGAGAGTAAAAGGTACGAGAGACGGAGAGATGGCCCTCCCCCTGACCGCAGAAGGCCAAGACAAGAGGCAGCTGCTTCAGATTCATCCTCTACATGAGGTAGCTATGAAACGCCAATTCTTTAATTTGCTTGATACACATTTGTACCTGAAACGTCAATACACTTGGGTACATATCAGGGAAGTATCTGAGCCTTTAAAAAATATTATGAAATATGAGACACAGAAAACATGTATACTATAGAAAATAGGAGCGCTGCCACGTGATGAATCAGAAAATGGAAATTGTACTTTTTATGGATGGTTTCAAGAAAGGAATGAGGCTGATAGTCCTATTCCTATTTGTAAACTATAGGAAGAAATTTATGATGATAATGATGTATATGTACATACTTACATACGCTTTTGGTAATGTCTAAGAATTATGTTCTTAATTTGAATTTGCATAATTGAAATTATGAAAAATGCTAGGAGCACAACTTTTGACATACTCTTTGTATACACTCCTTCCTAATTCCAACATCCTATTTAATGTATCTTTCTCATGATTTTGTATTTTTCAATACACTTTAATGGTTAAAATACTTTTTTAGTTTCTATAGTGTTACTTACTTTACCTTTTAATGCCTATAGTTTAAAACATATCTTTTTAGTTCCTATGCATATCTTTTTCAATCTTTTAAATCCTAATAGTTTAAGATAAATTGTCCCTATACTTGCAATTCTTTAATCCTTGTTGTTAATTTTTTTTTTTTTTGTAATGTTGTTTCTTTTGTATTTGACGTGACAGGGATATTAATTCAAATAAATTTGTGTGTCTGATATTGAATTTATTTTGTTGAAATTATTCTAAATTAAGTATTTTGATGACGTTAATACAAAATGGTCACCGTTATAAAAAAAATTAACCATAGGGACTAAAATGATTATAAAAGACTTATCTTAAACTATAGCAACTAAAAATACCTATTTTAAATTATAAGATTTAAAAGGTAAAATAAGTGAAACAATAGGGAAAAACTTTAATCGATAGGAAAATAGGAGAGAGTATTGCTAGCACAATTATGTATTTTTTTCTCCCTCAGGACCGAACTATAAGGGGGAAAAACTTGTGTATTGGGCTAAAATATACGGAAGTCATAGCTAACTTAACCTCATAATGAAACCATCCCAAAATACTCCATTTAAATGAGATTATGTTTTCAATGACCCTTTTTGTTCTTATTATCAATTTCCAATGAAGAGTATTCCGGGAAAAAATTGTTTTAAATGAAATTTAATGTTGTTAACCAATTTTCTTAATTAGCATAAATCAGTTATTTATTTATTTATTTTTATAATTCAGCCCGTTGTAGTATGTTTTTGAAATTTTACACACGTAGATATGTATCTTAAACCCGCATTGCATCCTATAATCCTATATATCGTTTTAGAATAATTGTATCGTAGTATTGGATACACTTATTATATCAGTGCATCATGGTGAAGTACTGGATAGCATTCTCTGTTCCACAGGTCCATGACTTCTTTAACTTCTACCAATGTTGCATGAAGTTTCATTGATAATTTTCCCCTATGCATGTTCAAAGTGAACTAACAGAGAGTAAAAACAAACCGAGAGAATGATTATTCTGATATATTTCTTGCAATGTAATTTGTAAATGTAAAGAGAGTATTTATATTACTGAAACTGTATAACTAATATAACTGATAGAACAGATTCTTAACTTCTAACTGAATGTACACATGTACTACTTGTTATTCATGAAATCTTATTCGGCTCTGCAATTTCAGTCTTGCAGGTGATTTTCAGTTTTGTCACAACTTTATATCATGCTCATGGTCATTTAAACAAATAGAAGATTGAGCTTGTGTTGGATTCTCGTCAGATGCATACAATGTTTCTCGCAAGCTCAAATGGGTATTTTCACGATTCATCTTGAGGAATATGTGCTTTTGGACTATATGAGTATGACATGTGAGACAAGTGCTAGATTTATTTGTCTGTAATTTGGAGCTATTTATGATGCAATCAGTTTGTTTTTGTGATAATTTTTCTGCAAGTTTCATGGCAGCTGCAGTTTTAGCACATAAAGTGACTGATATGAACTGTACAAGTTTAGATAATGTGCATATATAGCCTTTTGACATTTATCTTAAACAGCCAGTTAATGAATCCTTAGGTTAGTAATGCTACAACAATCCCTGTTTTGGGGGTTTCACCCTCCGCCCCTTCCCCATCTTCTTGAGGATAATTATTTTAACAGCAGTAACGACGGAAACTAGAGCTGATGTATATGTTGAAGGGATGCAACAGTTATGCTTTGTTTGGCTGCTGAAACAAAAAAATGAGCGTAGGGGAAAATAAAGAGGTAATTTTTTCCCGCAATGTTGATTGAATGACGAGAAATATGATTAGTTCTTTTTTCCTCCTTTGGTTGAAAAGGCGAGGGAAAATGAAATATAATTATACGAAGATGGTTAGATTTATCATTTTAATAACTCTTTATTATTCTCTAATGAGATCTTTTGGTGGATTTTGCATGATATTTTGTGGATTTTTTTTATTCACTTGGAAGATGGACGTTTTGGTTTGGAGAAAATATTTGTTTTAATGTTTATCATTTTGTTTTCAAAAGTCTGTATAGAAAACCAGTGGGAAATAATTTATTATTATTATTATTGTTGTTGTTGTTGTTGTTATTTTTATACAAAATTTTAAAAATAGGAAATTGAAAATGAATTTAGAAATTTTTATTCATTGCTTTTGTACTCGTTTTGTTAATGATTTGGAGATACAGGTGGCATCCCCATCCATAGCCGACAAAAAATATGTATATTAGGAGGATATCTGTTTATCCCTGAGATGATGATAGGCCAACCTTGTGGACGTGTAATTAACAATTATTTATATTCATTATTTGACTGGCAAAGATGGTATTTGAAAGGCTTTTTTCATATTTGGAGATTTAATTGAAACGCTCAATTAAATGAATAACCTCTCCAGCTGAGGCTGAGTACCGAGTTTACTTCCAGTGAACGCGTGTAGGCACTGTCTGTCTAATAACCCAAGAAACAATGGCCCTTTTGTATAGAGCCGGTTAAGTGGATTTTATTGCCAGGCCCAAAAGAAAGTCTGGTTTTTAATATCTTTTCAAGGATTTATGCTGAAGCGTATTTCTGTCCAAAAATAACGTTTGTTTTATGTATAACCTGAAAGAGTGAATGATTTTTATCTAAGTATTCATTTTGTTTTGGTCAAAAAGTTATTCTTAATCCACGTTTAAACTCGTTGACTGCTCACAAATTTTGCTTAAAGTTTAGGTTTTTAATTGAGCCAGAGCTACACCTCGTGATTTGCGTAGAAGCCTTTAATCATACGTTATTTTTTCTCGCATTTTAAAGTCGCGATTTGAATGCTTGTAACTCCCAAGTCTCATGCTTAAGCTACCTCCATCAAAAGAAAAGTAGGCAATATTACACATGAAATGTTATTTATATTATTGTTTAATTTAAATCTTTTTGTACAAGGTATTAAAATTAAATAGTTCCCTGTAGTTATCATTATCTTGGCAAAATTATTAATGATTCTTTTTATGTCACTCTCACACACCAGTTTGGCTACTCGGCCACTCACTAGCCAATAGCCATCACTGATTTCTAAAGATTGATGTCATCAATCGTACTATCTTTAAATGCTTGTTTTAAAGCTGTAAACAAAGACAGACGACCATGGTTGCCCCCCCCGCTTTGCTGGTTAGAATTGATACTTTATTATTATTATTTATTATTATTATTATTATTATTATTATTATTATTATTATTATTATTACAAACATCGAGGCCTCGCGTTTCAGCTTAATTAGGTTGTGTTTTATGCAGTAAGGGATTAGATACTCGATTGAATGACTTTGTTGCTAATGCTACGTATTTAGTTAGAACCATTTCAAGCATTTGATTTGTTGCTTTGTAATTTGGTTGTGTTTCCTTTCTTCCTCTTTCCGTGAGGATGAAGAAAGAGAAACATTGGCATGCTTAGGCTCGCCACCAACATTTTTAGGGATTGGTGAGTGTTGACACTACACACACAGCATTTAGGCCTCAGCAGCGTGGCATCATCGCCACTAAGCCACTGACTATCTATTGTCTTATTGGTATAAGAAATGTCCTTTTCGCAATAATTTTAAAAATAATGAGAGAGAAAAAAAAGAGAAGGAATTGTAAGGTAAGATGAATAACCGTAAAATATTTTATGCGTTAATTTAAATTAATAAAATAAAATATTAAATAATTTAAAATTTTTTAAAAAATTTATAAATCTGATTTATGTATTAAGAATTTTAAATTCAATATTTGGATTGTTAAAATTTGATGTAAAACATGAGTTATTGAATAGAGTAAGTCTAGACTTACTCCTAAAATAAAAAAAAAATCTATCCTTATATATTTGATTCTCC